AAAGGACAGGTTCCCAGGCGGCACCACGAGGAGGTTGCAGGGTCCGAATTTCGCCGCCCACATCGCTCGAGGAACAGCATCTCGGCGGTACCGTTGGAATGGTCATCAACGGAAATCAAATGAAATGTAGAGTCCGTTTTCGCCACCGTCGAGAATGTCCGCTCGACGGAACACATAGGAAACGCAGAAACCGTGGACTGGCATCGTTGGAATGATCATCGACGGAATAAAATGCAGAAGCCGTTGCCCGGGATCGTTGGAAGTTTATCAACGGCACCGCCATACAGTTTTGTGCACATGTCGCTGCCTCTTTCACAAACATTCTCAATGTTCGAGAAGCCGAAGCCTGCTGTGATGGGTCTCCACAAACCTCTGGTCATGGCTATAGCGACCGGTTTGCAAACGAAAATATGGACCGGGATGGCGAACGACAGTGCGAGTGGCAACGCGTAATTGAGAGCTACTCCAAAGCATCCATAACTGGCTTTCACAGCATTCATTTTCGCACATCTGATCGTGGTCGCATGTACACAGTAAGAACGACTATGGGCCCAGCCTGTGTGGATCAAGTCCAAAAAGATGAAGTGTGTTGCCAAGAGGAAGCAACATATGATCAATACTATATGGCAGCGTCAACACGATCAACATCATCTCAGTGGTGGGGTGGGGCTGGGAGCCCAGCCCACCAAGAAAACTCCCGATTCCAAGTGGAAAGAGACCTCCCTACTGAAACTTTCATCGACATCCTCTCCTCTGCTGCAAGTTTGCAACTTGATAAAAGGCATGTTGCTCAGCGTGCAATGGCATCAAGGCCCCACTGTGTGCCTTTGGGGAAAGAAGCATTTTTGCATCTTGGAGAATCGCTTGGTGAGCGTTGTGGCAGGGGTTGGCGGAAAACATCACATTTGCGGCTTCCAGAGGAGCAAACGGCCGGCGGTTGTCTTTTGGCGGGCGGGGTCTAGACCAAGTCCAGACTAGGCGACGAAAGTGTGGAGCGACCGGGGTGCTGGATCTGGACTG